CTGAGGAATTCTGGGAGTTGAAGTCCACAAGTCTTAAAGTGGCCAAGGTTGGACACCCCTGGTCTATAGGGAGAAGAATTGCAGGAATTAGGTATGGCTAGTCTAGAGAAAAGAAGGGCTAGGGGTGACGTGATAGCAGTCTTCCAGTATTTGAAGGGCTGCCACAAAAAGGAGTGGGGTCAACTTATTTTCCAGAAGGCCGGACAAGAAACAACGGATGGAAACTCATCAAGGAGAGAAGCAACCTGGAATTAAAGGAGAAACTTCCTAAAGGTTGAGGACAATGAGCAGCTTGCTTTCAGAAGTTGTGAGTGCTCCAACACTGGAGGTCTTCAAGAAGAGATTGGACACCCATTTGTCTGAAATGGCAGAGCAGTGGGCTGGACTAGAAGACCTCCGAAGCCCCTTCCAGCTCTATTCAGATTAACTGAGATGGCATAGGGTCTATTCTGATCGATTGGTTCAGTCTTAGGCTGCAGCCTCTTCTGTGTGCCTGGCTGGTGTTTTTGTTTTATTTTGGTTTTTTTAAGAACAAAGCCAGTGAGATGCCATTCAAAGCAAGACGACGGCGGACGGTAACTAAAACTTAGTTCAGGAGTTCATAACAATATTTTGTATTTTGCAGATTCGATATGCGTAAGGGGCTTCGACCCCAACCTCAGCATGATGACAGGCATCACGCCGATTAACCCCTTGCTGTCAGGCATGGGCCTCGTACCTCAGCCTCCCCCAACGGAAGTCCCCGTCATCAAGGAGATTATTCACTGTAAAAGCTGCACTCTCTTCCCTCCAAACCCAAGTGAGTCAACCTGGTTAGCTTGATCAGAGCTGAAACTGTAGATAATTGATTTATCTATTAATTTGATAATTAACGTATCCCCTCCCCAGCTAATAAAACGGTGGGGGGAAAGGTTCTTGCAATTTTAATATAGCAAGAAAATGCATAGGGTGGGTGGACTACAAGACCTCCAAGGTCTCTTCCAATGCTGTTACTCTAGGTCAGGGGTGTCCTGGCTGGGGAATTCTGGGAGTTGAAGTCCACACACCTTAAGGTTGCCAAGGTTGGACACCCCTGCTCTAGGTTCTGTGTTCATTGTGGGTGGTTGGCAAATCCTGGAACAAGCCGGCTTTTAATACCACTAATGTTAATATTACCACATTACCAACTTGGGTTGTACATGTGAGAACCTGATAGAATGTAATTAATGTTGCTAGTTTCTGGTCAAGATCTGTTTAATTTGTGCCTGTTTTAATGTATTTTCTATTTCAAATTTATGTCCTCTACTATGCCTTGTATTCAATCTGGTGCCTCTGACAACAACCAACCAACTCTGGTATCACTTCCTTCCTTTAGTGTTACTTATTGAAGCTGTATTATCAATAGTGCTGCCTTGTTACTTTTGGAAGACCTGAAATGAATAAGAATAGGATGGGATGGGATGGGATGGGATGGAATAGGAATCGAATGGAATCGAATGGAATAGAATAGAATAGAATGGAATGGAATGGAATGGAATGGAATGGAATGGAATGGAATGGAATGGAATAGAATAGAATAGAATAGAATAGAATAGAATAGAATAGAATAGAATAGAATAGAATAGAATGTAGAGTAGGGTAGGGTAGAGTAGAGTAGAGTAGAGTAGAGTAGAGTAGAGTAGAGTAGAGTAGAGTAGAATAGAATGAGTAGGAATAGAATAGAAGTAGAATGGGATTACAATAGAGTAAGTAGAGTAAGTAGAGTAGAAGAACAGAGTAGAGACAAGAGCAGAGTGAGGTGATGTGATGTGATGTGGGAAGGGAAGGGAAGGGAAGGGAAGGGAAGGGAAGGGAAGAGCATTTTTTATTGGCCAACTGTGATTGGATGCACAAGAAATTTGTCTCCTGTGCACAAGCTCTCAGTATACTATAAATAACAACATGATAGGTCATAGATCATAAATCATAGTCACAATCATTAATCATAAGATCCAAACAAGTGATAAATCATAATCAATAGGAGAAGGCAGTAGGAAAGAAGAGAAAATGAGAAGAAAAAAAAACAAGAAAGAAGAAGATGAGAAAGATGAAAAGAGAATAGCAATACAGCCCTACTACAAGGGAAAAAATCTTTATGCCTAAGGGGGAGATAATAGGTAGGAAAGTGGGAGTCGGCATTTAGAGGTGGGCTAAATTACTCCAACATAAATGGCCTTAAATTAACTAAGAGACCCAGGATAGCATCAAGACCGATTCATTTCCACTTTGGTTGATGTTGGCGTTCAGTAACATACGTGTAGACCGTAGAGGATAGATTGAGAAACCTTTTTGTTTTCGACAGGGACTCCGGTTTCTGGACTCTCCAGTTATATGTGTGGTTTTCCATTTTAGATCTTCCACCCCCTTCAACCAGGGAGAGACCCCCGGGATGCAAAACTGTCTTTGTCGGGGGATTACCCGAAAACGCGACAGAGGAAATCATCCAGGAAGTCTTCGAGAAGTGTGGGGACATCACCGCCATTCGTAAAAGCAAGAAGAACTTTTGTCACATCCGTTTTTCAGAAGAATTCATGGTCGATAAAGCCATTTACCTTTCTGGTATTTATCTCCCCCTTCCATTCAGTCCTCCTCCTTGGCCTCTCGTGGGCGTTGTGTGTGGTATTCTCTTTTCTATGATCCATATATCGATACAGGGGCGGGCTTCAAAAAATTTAGCAACTGGTTCTCTGCCTTGTTGCTGAGTAGGCGTGGCCATGGTGGGCGTGGCCTATTTGGCCTCCTGCACCACGTGGAAGGAAGTGTTTTTGCCCCCCTGGGCTCCGGAGGCTTTCCTCGAGCCTCCAGGAGGGTGAAAATGGCCTCCCCAGGCTCTGGAGGCCGGAAACAGGCCCATTTCTGGCCCTCTGGAGCCTCCAGGAGGCCCATTTTTCACCTTGCCTGAGCTTCTGCATGGGCCCTGTGCTTACCTGGCATCCAAAATGGACCACATAGAGATGCCTGAAAGGGGAGGGGAGGGGAGGGGTGGGCAGGCCAGCCAGGGATGGGATTTACCGGTTCGCCAAACTGGTCATTAAAAATGAGAAAATTAGTTAGCAGTTCACCCAAACTGGGGCACACTAATAGCAGGCCACCCTTTTATTTTT